AGGTTACCTCAGCACCACCTACAGTGAAGGTTACCTCAGCACCACCTACAGTGAAGGTAACCTCAGCACCACCTACAGTGAAGGTAACCTCAGCACCACCTACAGTGAAGGTTACCTCAGCACCACCTACAGTGAAGGTTACCTCAGCACCACCTACAGTGAAGGTTACCTCAGCACCACCTACAGTGAAGGTTACCTCAGCACCACCTACAGTGAAGTTTACTCAGCACCACCTACAGTGAAGGTTACCTCAGCACCACCTACAGTGAAGGTTACCTCAGCACACCTACAGTCGAAGGTAACCTCAGCACCACCTACAGTGAAGGTTACCTCAGCACCACCTACAGTGAAGGTTACCTCAGCACCACCTACAGTGAAGGTTACCTCAGCACCACCTACAGTGAAGGTTACCTCAGCACCACCTACAGTGAAGGTAACCTCAGCACCACCTACAGTGAAGGTAACCTCAGCACCACCTACAGTGAAGGTTACTCTCAGCACCACCTCAGTGAAGGTTACCTCAGCACCACCTACAGTGAAGGTTACCTCAGCACCACCTACAGTGAAGGTAACCTCAGCACCACCTACAGTGAAGGTTTACCTCAGCACCACCTACAGTGAAGGTTACTCCAGCACCACCTACAGTGAAGGTTACCTCAGCACCACCTACAGTGAAGGTTACCTCAGCACCACCTACAGTGAAGGTTACCTCAAGCACCACCTACAGTGAAGGTACCTCAGCACCACCGCAGTGAAGGTAACCTCAGCACCACCTACAGTGAAGGTTACCTCAGCACCACCTACAGTGAAGGTTACCTCAGCCACCACCTGCAGTGAAGGTTACCTCAGCACCACTACAGTGAAGGTTACCTCAGCACCACCTACAGTGAAGGTTACCTCAGCACCACCTACAGTGAAGGTTACCTCAGCACCACCTACAGTGAACGTTACCTCAGCACCACCTACAGTGAAAGTTACCTCAGCACCACCTACAGTGAAGGTTTACCTCAGCACCCCTACAGTGAAGGTTACCTCAGCACCACCTACAGTGAAAGTTACCTCAGCACCACCTACAGTGAAGGTTACCTCAGCACCACCTACAGTGAAGGTTACCTCAGCACCACCTACAGTGAAGGTTACCTCAGCCCCACCTACAGTGAAGGTTACCTCAGCCCCACCTACAGTGAAGGTTACCTCAGCACCACCTACAGTGAAGGTTACCTCAGTACCACCTACAGTGAAGGTTACCTCAGCACCACCTACAGTGAAGGTTACCTCAGCACCACCTACAGTGAAGGTTACCTCAGCACCACCTACAGTGAAGGTTACCTCAGCACCACCTACAGTGAAGGTTACCTCAGCACCACCTACAGTGAAGGTTACCTCAGCCCCACCTACATGAAGGTTAACCTCAGCACCACCTACAGTGAAGGTTACCTCAGTACCACCTACAGTGAAGGTTACCTCAGCACCACCTACAGTGAAGGTTACCTCAGCCCCACCTACAGTGAAGGTTACCTCAGCACACCTACAGTGAAGGTTACCTCAGCCCCACCTACAGTGAAGGTTACCTCAGCACCACCTACAGTGAAGGTTACCTCAGCCCCACCTACAGTGAAGGTTACCTCAGCACCACCTACAGTGAAGGTTACCTCAGCACCACCTACAGTGAAGGTTACCTCAGCACCACCTACAGTGAAGGTTACCTCAGCACCACCTACAGTGAAGGTTACCTCAGCACACCTACAGTGAAGGTTACCTCAGCACCACCTACAGTGAAGGTTACCTCAGTACCACACACAGTGAAGGTTACCTCAGCACCACCTACAGTGAAGGTTACCTCAGCACCACCTACAGTGAGGAATACCTCAGCACCACTACAGTGAAGGTTACCTCAGCACCACCTACAGTGAAGGTTACCTCAGCACCACCTACAGTGAAGGTTACCTCAGCACCACCTACAGTGAAGGTTACCTCAGCACCACCTACAGTGAAGGTTACCTCAGCACCACCTACAGCGAGCCCAACCCACCTCTGTAAACCACTCAATCACCTCTCTAAATCAAACTTACATTCAATAAAACCTCCATCTAACTGCGTCCCTTCCATACAATAACCCTTAGGGCGATGATACAACCTCCCTAGCATAAAGTGTCGCCCTTACGACCTGTTACACAACTAGAAAGTCTAATCTCCTCAGATTTTCTGTCCGGAAACTTCAGTGTTTTGATATAGAAATGGAGGTCGCAAGACATTTATTCTAATCTTACCTGGCTTCGAGGAAAATCAGAACTTGCTTCAGGTCCAATATGTTCCGCGCGTGTTCACCTGTATATCCATTAGAGGCTCAAGTCTCAAAGGGCATCGATACAGTAGGAAATGATTAAAAACGTCACAACCCCCAAGAAGTCCGACCATGAACACAAATATGGCTGCAGCCACTGAGATAGTGTAGGATGAACCCTCAGCTAGAACCCACACTAATACCATTACACTTTATTAAACTACTTTTATAAATTATTTTAAGCTCTTTGCGGTATTGTTCATCTGACAACTTCGCAGGAAAATTAATAATGTGATAGATCAATATGTAAAGATAGTGTAGCTACGTTAGCTATAGACTTTGAAAGGAGAAAACGAAATCTTGGGGGGTGAAACGCTGCTATTTTCGTCAGTTACTTTCCCTAGCTAGGAAGACAAAACATATTCATTCGGGGATAATTATTTTTGCTTACTTCCCTATCATATTTATTGTTATTCTATTATTTACTATTGTTAACAAGAAAACTCTAAACCCGTACGGATCATAGCACCAATTAACGGCACACTACTTTTACATATACGTTCTGGATTATGTATCATACAGTACATAAAATACAAAATTTAATACACTTCACTAACTTCCAGTTCTTCACTCATGTAAACAGATATTCCTCCCTCTCCCTTCATCAGACATTCAACAATTTCTCAACCTCTGTTCTTCAGGATCTTTAACATCTTGCTCCATATTCATCATCTCTCCAAATTATTATCATCATAATCAAGGAGGAAGCACTAAACCCGTAGGATTATACAGCGTCTGTGGGGAGGGGGGTGATGTGGAAGGTATTCAGGCTTAATTCGGGGAACTGGAGCACAGATCCAATTCCCTAGATCAAGAGCCCCTCACCAGCATCAACGAACCTTCCTTGAGGGGACATCTCCCCAAAACTTTTTATTTTCATACATTAGCTGAAAACAACTCATTTTTTTTCTTCTTAAACTGTACTTTTATTATCAATCATTACATTTGTGGGAAAGTGCTAAACCCACAGAAGTCATGCAATTCCTGAGAAAAACAAGAGCCCTTCACCAGCATTAGGGTTATAAGAATTTTCCAAAATTTTGTTCACATTTTGCAAACTGCATATCCAGGTTATTATGATTAAGAGGAAGTGCTAAATCCATAGGATCACATAGCACTGTTGAATGGGAGGCAATTAGGTTTGATCTAAAGTTTGAAATCCAATTCCTTGGATCAAGAACCCCTCACTAGCATCAAGAAACCTTCCAAGAGGTGATATTCATACTGAAGTCTTCATGCAAACATGTCTCCAACAAACTCCTGTCAACTCATTGATGTACACCTGATCAAACCACTTTTTAAGTTTCATGTAACTGAAAAGACATACCAAGAATGTGGCAGTTGACTGGGAATGTATAAATGGATCATTTTTTTTTAGTATCTAGGTCTGATGCTTTTGGTTTCATCTCCTCAGACATACATGCATTACCTTATAATTTTTTTCAAAATTTATTTCATCATGGTGTCCTGTGATCCTTTTGCAGTGTAATGGATGCCAGTGTTTTACACAACTCTTAAGTGCCAAGTAACATTTGTTCACTCTTCAGTTATTACAAACTATAATTTTACGTTTGACTGTAACAATAAATGTAAAAAAAACTGTAGCAACAGAGTCTAGTTGCAGTCCTTTCCAATCTCTTCACTTTTGAGATACATTATTAAATTCCTTAAAAAACTTAATTATTCAATCATGAAGATGAGAGATGGTAAATTAAGCAGTGTTGAGGGAAAGGCATTGTCAGAAAGGAGGGGAGTGGCAACTCAGATGTTGCAAATCAGTGTCAGTTAAGATATAAGAGAATAAGCATTGAAGTGGACTGTCAGAGGGCAAATAAAGCACACATACACCCAGTGTGCCCTTCAAATAAGAGAGGCATTTTTATGAGTAACAGTTCGTTGATTTCAGTTTGATCTCAACCTCTACAAATTTTAATATCCTTGGTTAACAAGAATTAGTCTTATGCTTACAGTTCTTTCAGCAAACCAGCCATATCCCCCCAAAGTAGGGTGGCTCAAGAAGAAAAACAAAAATTTCTCTTTTCAACTTTAGTAATGTATACATGAGAAGGGGTTACTAGCTCCTTGCTCCTGGCATTTTAGTCGCCCCTTACGACACGCATGGTTTACGGAGGAAGAATTCCGTTCCACTTCCCCATGCAGATTAAGGATAGTTAACCAACAATATTAAGTGGGAAACTTACATCTGGCAATTAGACAAACTGAAGTTCCTTAAATGCATTGTGTCCTCATGTATGCTGTTTAAATCAGAGGACAGGCTAGCATATTAGGACATTTAAGGTGCCTTTACTGAAGCTGGCATACTCCTGGATTAACAGGACAACTGATCAAGAGACGATGGACCATCAGGTCCTGACAAACCTCGCAAAGCAGCACCAGTAAAATGCGAGAACATCATAATTCTGTAACCATAAAGCATTATACCTGTTATTCAATTCCAAAAGTAACTTTGACACAAGCCACACTGATATGGAATTTTGTTGGGAAAACTTCCACTCTATACAGTATTTCATAAAATTTAAAAAATATTCCACCAAATCATATGTTGTACTGTACTGTGAAAATTTTAAGATCAAGCTTTCTCATTTAAATCATGTTAAATCAATCACTATGAAGCAGGCAGGATATAAAGTTTGGGTAAACAAATAATTATTTATTATTCCAAAGAAAGGTTCTAAAAGGAACTGAATTCTACACAAATCTGTTCCTTCCAGCAGTTACATTAGTGACGAATGTTAACCAACATGTAAATTCCTTAGAAATTTTCAGGATTAAGAATTTACAAAGAAACTTCACCACGTTAAAATAAATTAGTTTACAACTAATCCACATTTACCATTATTATAATTAAAGATAGTAATTATAGTAATAGTCTGAACTGCAGGCAGTATTTTCACAGAAAAAAAAATATTTGTATAGTAATAAAAAGTCTATCCTGGATATTTCTACCTATTAAACTGATAAAAGAAACTTTTTTTTATATTTAGAGGGGATATACAGCTCTTTCTACAATCTAATCTTCATCAACATATTTAAAGGGCTCTGGAGGATCTGGCTCAGTCTCTTCTTCTGTCTTGGGACCCAATGCAGGAACAGGTTGTACCAATTCTTCACTGTCTTCAGGTTTAGTATCTCTCATCAAAATTATTCCACCTATGCTTAGTTCTTTCACTGGAGTGTAACGTGATCCTTCTGCCATGCGCATAACTTTAAGTTGGGCTTTCATTACTCGTGCAGGATTACTTAGCAAATCAAAAGCAGGTTCTTCTTTTTTCTTTTCTTCTTCCTTTTTCTTTTCCTCTTTTTCTTTCTCCTTTTCTTCTTTTTCCTTTTTCTCCTTTTCTTCATCAACATCCATCTTCTCATCCTTCTGTTCTTTTTTCTTCCTTTCATCATCCTTTTTCTTTGCTTTTGCAGTTATAGAAAGAACGGCTGTTACCTTCTCTGCTACTTCCTTCTTTTTCTCCTCTAGGGGTGCTGGATATCCATAAGTGGAAGGTTTTGCATTTGAGAGAAATTGCATTTTTGGCATCTTTAATTCAGAGTTCAAACCAATCAGACATGTAGGTGTAAAAGCCATTGACAAGAAATGTGCCAATGGGAACCAATACCAAAACTGAGTGAAGACAAACATACCAACAACTGATGTCATGCTGGTGTGTCCTGTACGAGACTGTAAGGAAATGGTCATGTTTCGCCCACCAGCATCAATAATTCCCTGAGCAAGGATCGCCCCAAACTTTGCAATTGAATCTTCATGTTTATCTCCAATGACTTTAGCATACAACTGCCGGAAATCTTTAACCTTGGAACAAGTTGATTCAGTTTGCTGTATGAGAACAAGAGCAGAAGCTATGAGAGCACCTTGACGAACAAAATTCACAGGATCATTAGTTAGTGGTTCCAGCAACCCCAGGGCTTCCTTCTGTCCAGTGCCTGAACATGCAACACCCAGAGCCATGGCGGCACCATATCGAACATGAGGGTTGTAAGATTCAGACAGGAGAGAAACCATGCTCGGCATTTGCTCAGGAGACCGGAACAACAAGAACCCTAGAGCCTCTACAGCTGCTCGCCTTACATCATTATCCACATCGGAAACTGCTACATGCAGCAATCTTTTCATAGCTGGTGTTGAAGCAGTGCCACAGTAAGCCATTGCTACAGTGTACATTGCAGCTCGTCTTAAAATAGCATCCTTATCTTCACTGAGTTCTGTGATGAGACGATCAGCCTGATCCTGCTGGCCATACATATTCAGAGCAATACCCTGAGCCAAGCCACGAAGAATTTTCTCATGTTGTGTGTCTCGTGCATAATTAACCATATCAGATACTGCTTGTTCATTTGCTGATCCAACATGACTAAGCCCTAGCCAATCCTGCTGCTTCTCCTGTTACAGCATCATCTTGGAAGAGAGAATATTTCAGCTGTTCATATACATCTGTACGCTGTGTGCCCATGGCTGCTAGACCTAAACCAAGACAACCACCATGACGAACAATCTGAAATAAAGATTTTAGTTTGACTAACAAGTTATTCAAAATTTACATATTATATTTAAAATAATAAAGGTATTAACTTTTCCTTCAAGCATTCAAGTGCTGCATTGCAGAAAATTATAATGCCACCACAGCCCAAATCTGGGTTAGTGAGATTCAGAGTTCCAATCTCTCCCACGCCTGAGTTTTTCTCAACTGTTTGAATCTGGCGCTTATTCTTTTCTACCATGCAATACCTCGTATGCAGTATCTAATTTTGATTAAAGCCCAATGTCAGTCTCCAGATTAAAATTAATGACATTATTTAAACCGATGTACTACAGTACCTTTATAATTTTTAGCTCTATCATTAACACCAAATTCATAAGATAGACTGGTTAGCAGGAAGCAATTCTTTTCACACAACCCTAGTTTGATTCCTACTTTGCCTGCCCATGCTGTTATCTCTACTTCTAAACTGAGAGTTCAAAACACAAGAGGATTAATTCTAGCTTTAATCCCATACTTATATCAAAGCTTTTACTTGCTCTATTCAGTGTCAATACCAACAAAATTTTCAAAACCTCCTACAATGTATTTCAACTGTAGGCTGACTTGTATCAAGCACAAATAGTAAATGAATAAAATTTTCCATATAAAAACATTTTTATCACAATGCATTCTCTTTTGTGTATAGAGCAGATGCACTTAACCACCTAAAGACAACAATAAATTTTGAAGGCCTTGCTGCCACTGTGAAAGAAAGACACGATAATAAAGGATTTCATTAGAAAAATTTAAAAATTAAAGCTGCCCTACTAAAAAAACAGAACTCACATCGGTGGCTTCTTTCGTTTGATTAAGAAGATATTCAATGATGTTTGCCCCATGATTTGCATGAATTAGTCCTAAGGCATAAAGTGAGCCACTCTCTGCATAGCCTGGGCTGTTTGATTCCTTAGGTAAGTATGCCTGCATTAAAGTGAGTGCTTCTTTTTCATGGCCTCGGTGGATTACTCCTAAAGAAGCTGTGGCAGTCATCTTGGCCCAATTTGTTGCTCGAGATAACCACTCCAAATTATCTCTGCAAGAAAGCACATTCATTAAAAGGAGCCTTGTGGTACACAGTTGAACAAATCCTTTGTAATGTGTGGGGAAGATTATATTAACGAGTTTCACCTCAAGGATATACTGATTCCACAGGACACAAAGAATCAAAGTTGTATAAATACAGCATATACAGTACTTACTGATAATAAACCTTTATACATAAGCAATGATTACATTATGGGAGGAATAGTGTTGAGAATAATTCGGCAGTAAGTCTGTTTTATGACGAACTTTCATCAGTTTTTGCACTACAGCCTCTCCTCACTTCATGATGGAGTTCCATTCCTAGACCACATTGGTAAACAAATTTGTCGCTAAGCAAGGAGCATACTATAATGGTAGTGGGTTTGTGCAAACCATCTCTGACATTGTTTTAATGTCACCTTTGCACCATTTATAACATTTTTAGTATACAGCGGACCCCCAGTTTATGATCGGCTCCCAATGCGACCAATTATGTAAGTGCGTTTGTATGTGTTCTAGGTAGTAGGTTGGTAAACAGCAACCGCCCAGGGAGGTACTACCGTCCTGCCAAGCGAGTGTACAACGAAAGCCTGTAATTGTTTTACATGATGGTAGGATTGCTGGTGTCTTTTGTCTGTCTCATAAACATGCAAGATTTCAGGTATGTCTTGCTACTTCTACTTGCATTTAGGTCACACTACACATACATGTACAAGCATATATATACACACAGACCCCTCTGGGTTTTCTTCTATTTTCTTTCTAGTTCTTGTTCTTGTTTATTTCCTCTTACCTCCATGGGGAAGTGGAACAGAATTCTTCCTCCGTAAGCCATGCGTGTTGTAAGAGGTGACTAAAATGCCGGGAGCAAGGGGCTAGTAACCCCTTCTCCTGTATATATTACTAAATTTAAAAAGAGAAACTTTAGTTTTTTCTTTTGGGCCACCCCACCTCGGTGGGATACGGCTGGTACACTGAAAGAAAGAAGAAAGTTTGTATGTGTATGTTTGGGGGTCTGAAATGGACTAATCTAATTCACAATATTCCTTACGGAAACAAATTCGGTCAGTACTGGCACCTGAACATACTTCTGGAATGAAATAATATCGTAAACCGGGGTCCACTGTATTTGTAAATGTTTATACAGTAGTGTACTGTATACTGTAATAAAGAGAATTAGAGGAAATCAGCTCTAATTTACATTATTCAGGTATGCATACTGGTCAGAGAGCCCAAGGTAGTCCGAGCTGTCGGTAAACGAGTACGTCGCTAAGTGAGGAGAGGCTGTAAATGATCTGTGTCTAGTGTTTCAGAAAGTGAACATTTGGAAATAATGTTATGGAAGAGAATTAGAGTAAAAAGAAAAAGTGTACTAAGTGCTACAGAACCACTTGTCAGCATATACAACTGTCTACATAACGGATTAAGGTTGTAAGGAATTTTTCTTTTTAATTTCAGCATTCAATGGAATAATGAAAAATTTAAGTGAAAGGGAAATTTGAATACAAAGAAAGTGTAGCAAGCAGAATGCTATCTGGAGTTTCTGGAGAGAGTTCCGGGGGTCAACGCCCCCGCGGCCCGGTCTGTGACCAGGCCTCCTTAGGTCAGTGTCCCAGGATGCGACCCACACCAGTCGACTAACACCCAGGTACCCATTTTACTGATGGGGAACATAGACAACAGGTGGAAAGAAACACGTCCCATGTTTCTACTCTGGCGGGGATCGCCCAGGCCCTCAACCGTGAAGCGGAGCGTTAACCACAGCCACCAGAAGACTGAAAATCTACTGGTGACTGAAACCATCTGATATACACGTGTACTACCTTATCAAGACAAAATTTAGATTAACTCTTTCACTGTCGGTGCCATAATATTACGGTTTGCAACCAGTGTTGGTGCTGTAATATTAAGCCAAAATTCTAGCAACTTCCAATATTGCAGAAGAAAGCTGGTAGACCTACATGTAAGAGAATGGGTCTGAGTGGGTAGTGTGCGCAGTATGAAAAAAAATCCTGCAGCACGCAGTGCATGAGAAAAAAAAAATTAGACCGTGTTTTTGGTTTAAAACACAAACTTTACAGTGTATTTTTGTATGGAAATTATAGTCGTATTCTCGTTTTCTTGGTCTCATTTGATAGAATGGAAGATATATTACAGAAATAGAGATGATTTTGAATGGTTAACAGACTAAAAGTACCTTGAAATCGAGCTCAAATTAGCGGAAATGTTCGATTTTTGCCAATGTTCAAGAGTAAACAAATGATGTCGTGCGTCCAATACATGTAAACTGGTGGGTCTAATTCGCTTTCACAAATGCACTGATGTTATTTATACCATTTTTACAATAATGCAGTAGTCTGCATACCAGTAAATCTTATATTTTTTGTGTGAATAAAAATTCAAAATGGAAAGCAAGCTGTAATATAAGAGGGACCTGGAGACGTGACTAATGAACAGAGAAAATGTTATTTTAGTGCAAGAAATGTTTTTGTTAATTCTGGACCCTATTTTGAAATTGGCCTTACTTGAATTGTGTATGAAACTGGCCAAGGTACCAATTTCTGACCGCTTTAGTGGGTAGTTGAAATCAATAAATGGACTGTTTCTTGTCCTCAATCGATAGAACAAATGGAGTACTAGTGAAATAGCTATGAGTTTGCTCAACTGGAACAATGGAAATGGCTGAAAATAGGGCTCAAATTGGGCAAAGTCACAAGAGCGTAATTCCACGAGTTTTCCATCAAATTTCGTATTTTTGGTGTCATTACCATCAGGAAAAGATTCTCTATCATTTCATAAGAAATTTTCTTTTTTAAAATTCTTTGACACTGAGAGCAAGTTTGTGAGCAGGGGTCTTGACAGTGAAAGGGTTAAACCCTTTAACTGCAGCAGGCCCTGAATATATAATTCTGGGTGTGAGGTAAGGTTCAAAAAAAAAAAGTAAAGTAAATTCTGAAAGAGCCCATTCTTAATTAGAGATATGAAAAGAAAATTGAAACAAAAGGTAAACTTATGATTTTATGATGTGCTGAGGTTGGCAAAAAAAGATTATGGACACAAAACACACATTAAGTAAATTCAAGGTAGGATAACACGTGTCTTACAGAACAGTGATTAACAAAAAGTTCCTCAGCTTTACTCAGCTAAATTCAGATCCAGGAGCTCACTTTCACAATTGAAACGTATATAATGATTGTTATTATTGTACACTGTCTTAACCCTTTCAGGGTCCGTCCCGTAGATCTATGGCTTTACGTTCAGGGTCCAAACCGTAGATCTACGTCATGAGCTCAGCTCACTCTGATAAACTGTGAGTGGTACATTTGGGCCTAGATATAAGAGAATACATCTATGTGGTATGTGTGCACCACATAAAACAAATCCTGCAGCACATTGTGTATAATGAGAGAAAAAAACTGAGACCATGATTTTCGATTAAAACAGCGACTTTGCAGTGTTTTTTCGTATGTTTTTTATAGTTGTATTTGCGATTTCTTGGTCTCATTTGATAGAATGGAAGACATATTACAGAAATAGAGATGATTTTGATTGGTTTTTAGCACTGGAAATGGATTGAAACTGAGCTCAAAGTAGCGGAAATGTTAAAATTTTGCCGATGTTCAAGAGTAAACAAACGACCTCACACGTCTAATACACACGAGCTGGTGGGTCTAATATACATTTACAAATGTGGTGATGATATTTATACAATTATTACAATATTGCATAACAGTAAATCTTCTATTTTTTGGTGTGAATAAAAATTCATTATGTGAATAAGAAATCAAATTGGAATTTATTTGTAAAGCCTCAAAATGTAACTAATGAACAGAGGAAATGTTAGTTTAGTCCCAGGAATACCTACATTGTTTATTCTAGACCCTATTTTGAAATTGGAATATTTTGAACTTTGTGTTAAATTGGCCAAATTACCAGTTTCCAATCACATTATTTTGTAGTTGAAACAGTTGACTTGGCGATTTCTTGTGCTCAATCGATTGAATAGAAGTAATACTAGTAAAATAGCTAAGAATTTGGTCGACTGGAATAATGTAATTGGCCTAAAATGGGAGTCAAAGTCGGCAAAATCGCCGATTCGTAAATATCGCTGACACATCAAAATTTGCGAGAGCATAATTTCATCAATTTTCCATCAAATTTCATACTTTTTGTTTTATTACCTTCACAAAAGGATTCTCTACCATTTCATAAGAAAAAATAACAAATTTATTTTTTGAAAATTCTTGGACACTGGGGCACCACTTCAGATTTTGGCCTTGGACCCTGAAGGGGTTAATATACAAAAGTTAATTTAGCACTATACAGGAATATATCAATTACTGTTATATGAAACATACATACTATGTAAATGTTCCTACACAATGGTAGTGAGTTATGTTCCTAGATGTTCTGCAACATTGAAAAGCAAATTTCTGTCTTGGGTTTGAGTTCATATTGTGTTTCAGAGAAGATATCTCCGTAATATATCTCTCTCTTATTTTGTTAATGTTAACATAGTCATTTTTTTTAATCACATCAGCCGTTTCCCACTAAGGCAGGGTGACCCAAAAATAAAGAAAAATACTTTCATCATCATTCAACACTTTCACCATCATTCATACATAATCACTGTCTTTGCAGAGGCTACTCAGATACAATAGTTTAGAAGACCCTCCAAACTCCCAATATCCCAAACCCCTCCTTTAAAGTGCAGGCATTGTACTTTCCATTTCCAGGACTCAAGTCCAGCTAACCGGTTTCCCTCAATCCCTTCACAAAATATTACCCTGCTCACACTCCAACAGCTCGTCAGGTCCCAAAAACCATTCATCTCCATTCACCCCTATCTAACATGCTCACACATGCTTGCTGGAAGTCCAAGCCCCTTGCCCATAAAACCTCCTTTACCTCCTCCCTCCAACCTTTTCGAGGACGACCCCTACCCACCTTCCTTCCCCTACAAATTTATACGCTCTCCAAGTCATTCTACTTTGTTCCATTCTTTCTAAA